TTTCCGGCGCTCGTAACTGCTAAAGGTCATATTATGAGTGCGCAGGATATACTGATACTGATACATATCGTCGGCCTGGTGATAAAACCGTCTAACCCACAAAATATAAAAAAAACTTTTTATTGGCCCTATCGATAGTAAATTGTCCATTTCATATGCTCACTCAAAGACAGATCTGAATTTTGTCTAGAAATGTCTTTAAAACATTAGAAATAAAACCGTATAACCCGGCACCCATCGGATTTTAGCCCGATAATTCCGACTATCCCACCTGCGAGGGACGGAATGAGGGTTGGCTGTTTTTATCGCGCTAACAATGAGGGGCCACTTGCTACGTTACCGACTAACCCCGGCTTCGACTCCTCTCTGGACTTAGTTTGACATCAGATTCAGACCTGTAATAGTCCAGAATTTGCTCACATAACCGTGGGAGCTCTCCAAACAGGAATATTTGTGTAATATTTCTTGTTGATTTCACTGGGGAGTTATATAGATCTGGTTGTTTCCTCCTTTTTCTTCGTTTTAATGCTGCTGATAACGTTATTAATGACTAAAACTCCCCACTGTTCCCACAGAACTGTTTATCTCGTGACAATTCCGGTATTTGAAATGCATCTTTATGGATTTTGCTTTATATGAAACTATGTTTTCTGTCCACGTGTTTTTCTTTGTCTTTGTACTCGAAATTTACCGATTGTGAAGGCATTTTCCTCTATTCGGACTACTGTCTCTTCTCCTAATCATTTTTCCTTCACAATTGAATGGACGAAGTAGATAGCATTTCCTCCTTTACTAACTCACTCCCAAAAAAAAAATTGTGTGACCTGTCCAGCACACTGTCTGCCCCCAACGATCGTTGTTTTTTAAAGTGCTTTTTCTTTTTTTTTCATTTGCTGTGTTTATTGCAGTCATTACCTTCCGAAACATCGTTCGACTTTCTTTGAAAGTTCAGTTCGTTTGTGTTTTGAGTAGATTATTTTCTCAGTGTCATAACCTAATGCTATATCTTTATATCAAACCTTAGTTTACATAACGCTATAACATTCAATAAGATGATGCCACTCTTGCTGCGTCACCTCTTACCCTCAGCGCAGTGGAAAGTGATCAACATGACCAGGCTAATGTCACATCAGTTGATTGTACAATAGTTATGTTACCTTTGATCTCTGCGAAAAGGACACGGCATGAAAAAGATTGGAAGGGTAACAAAAGGAAGAGGTTGAAAGAACTGGGGATGCCTCTACCCATGTCAAGGCACGAAGGGAGCAGGATGTGAACTTGACGTCCTTGGCAGTTGTAAACTGGTTGGTACAAAATGCAATGATATCACTGGTCACTCTTTTGGAAAAAAAAGAGAGCCTACGTTTATCACACGATAAACATGATAGACAAAAAGAGATCTTACACAGCAAGCGAAAACCCAAGGAGAAATTACAGCCACTTACAAGAGTCAATGGTCAAAGAACACCTGTTTGTAAAACAATCTTCAAGAACACCACAGGCCTGACCCACTGGTTTATTTAAAGTGTCTTCTCCGAAAAAAGAGGTCCACCCACCTAGAACACATCACGCCCACGATGAGAGAGCCAAGGATGACAAGTTGTTCCATAAAGAGGAATTTTTTGACAAACTTTCGAAGATATCCTCCTGTCTACAGATGACAATCCAGAACACGTCAGATCTGCATCAAGTATACATGGAGAGCTTTGCAGAGAGGGTGAAAGCCACATTGAGCTATCAAGTGTTCTGCCAAAAGTTCAAGAAAAACAATTTGGGTTTACTTTCAACCAAGAAAGACCAGTGCGACATTTGTACAAAATTCAAATCTGGAAACCTCACAGAAACAGAACACACAGCTCAAATATGAATATGAGGAAAGCTGCCGCTAGACCAGAGAAGGAGAAGGACAGGGAGGCTGTGTGTGTCCTTTGTATGGAGATCCAGTGCGTCCTTCTGGCATCATCACTAAAGACTTCCACATTATATAAACAAAATTGGCTGTACACAGTGTTACGACTTAGGATCTTGCCACCAGAGACGCCAGATGATATGTCTGGTATGAAAGTGAAGTTGGTCTGGGCTTCAACAGTTTTCATCACGTCTGACTCACTAACTGATATTGCAAGTGACTGACTTCAACCACTTCATCATCTGCAGTGATTGGCGCAACTACTAAAACAGAAAGCCACCCTGGTGAGTGCAATGGCCTCGCTGACCAAAGAGCTTGACATCACAGTTGAGCAGAAATTCTTCCCAAGGGCCATACCCAAATGGAAGTGGATTCAGTCCATGGCACTATTGAGCGATCGCTAAAAAACGCACTGATGTACATCCCAATGGACTACATGAACATCATGCTCAAAGCCAGACGCATCCCCAGGCCCTATGAAGTTATGTACCTGGACCACAGCTTTTTCAAAGATTTCGCACAGGGAGAAAAGCAGGCGATCCTACTGTCACTGGCTTGCAGGCATCAAAGTACACTCCAGTCTTTAAAATACAGTACAAGCTGAACTTTGATGATGGATGGCAGGCGCTGCAGGGACCAAGAAAGCTGAACACCATGTGTACGACGGTTACTGCTGGACCTCTCTGCAAAGACAGATTGAAGATAACTGCCAACCAGTATAAACATCTACTTGAGTTGAAGGCCGTCGTACCACGATGCTACCACAATTACCATGAAATGTTGCCTCATTAAGAAGTTTTGAAAGCGATCAAGCCAAATTCGATTATAGTAGAGTCTTTCAAAACAATGGTAACTTTTGTCGTATTGCCTTGTTGTAGCCATAGGACACAGAGTGAGAAAGACATGCTCTTCTGTCGTCGGGAAAACTCAATAAAGTAGTAGTTGTCAAGCCACGCACTTAGAGAAAGCTGGCGCATTCTTTGGTACTCACAAAGTCTTTTAGTATAATAATGATATATCATTATGTAACCAACTTCTCCCAAACCATTGCTGAGGTAGCAGAGCTTTTGTGTGGCTTTCTGCTTTCATTTCTTTCTTAGTATTACTTTTTTCCAGGCCTTTGAATGGCCACCCAGTGCCAATAGTACGGTGTCGGACACGGTCATAAATTCTAAAGGTCTACTGCTGCTGCTGCTACTACTGTTGTTTTTGTTGTTGTAGTAATTGTTGTTTTTGTAGTTGTTGCTGTAGCTGTTCTCCCTTACCCTTGCAACCTCCTATTCTTCTACTTTAAATGTAATTAATATACCCATTGCTGTGTTCTGCTTCTTCTACTTCTATTAAAGGTTAAACTTTGTGACTGCTGTTTTTGCCCGAATTGACTCCGCAGCACTGAAATGGCAGCAGCTGACAGTATGTTGGTAGCAATAATATAGTCCTCCTCCTCTTCCTTCTTCTTCTTCCTCCTCCTCCTTTTTTCTCCTCCTCCTCCTTCTTTTTTCTCCTCCTCCTCCTCCTCCTTCTTCTTCTTATACAAAAGATCTTGACGATTGAAGCAAGTGATCAAATACGTTACCGTCAAGTGTGGCTTGGCTGCACTCAACCAAATTCAAGGCCAGCAGTGGCTTCCTGATAAAACCGGTCAACCCACAAAATTGAGGGTTGGTCGGTTTTATCCAGGAAAATTTGAGAGACATAACCGTCTAACCCACACAGTTTCATTAAAAGCAATTTTTAAAGGAAAAAAATTCTATAGATTTTCGGTTAAGTGTTTTTATAGGTGTTTAAAGCATTGATTTATCGTTAGACGCCTTTGTTTTGAAATAAAACAGTTTTTTCCTTCTCCTGTAAAATTTACCTCGCTGGGGTTAGCCGGTTTTATCACAAGGCTGACGATATATTAAACATTTTCAGTTGGCAGGAAATTTTGAATTTGCCCAGGTGGCGGCCGAAACCTACTCTTATCAATTTTGGACCACCAAGGGATCTTCAACGAGCACAATTTGCACATGGGACCTCTGAGATTTTTCGCCCTTGTCCGAGAAAGCTACCCTATGTAGATCTTTCCTACCATGAGATCAGGGGTGTGGCTGAAAGACAGCAGTAAGAAGGAGATAAGGAGGAGTAGCAGTAGAAAGGCTGCAGAAACGAGTCAGGAGGATGCAAAGGAAGTGAAGGGGTGGGGCAGAAAGTGGAGACGAAAACAGATGACAGAACATTGCTAGAGAGCAGGAAAGGAGGTGAAAGGAGACAATTTTTAGAGAATAAAAGTTTCCTGTCACTACCTGGACTCCAACCTGGTGGTCTAGTGGTAAGGCTACCGGACTCGTAATCATGAGGTTGTGGGTTTGGGGGTTCGAGCTGCGGGCCCGAGGTTGTATCCTTGGGAAAGACACTTTACACGAATTTTCGCTTCTTCACCCAGGCGGGAATGGGTACCCAGCTATAAACAGTGAAAGATCCTGTCAGTTTGTTAGTGTTTGAGGGCTTAACCAGCTGCTTGCACTGCATGCTTCCCGGAAAGCTGAGAATGTTTCTGAGAGTTCTATGGTCTGCTGGGGTAATAATATAGTGTAAAGCGCATAGAGCTTGCTTTCGAGTGGAGACTGCACTATACAAATTCTATTTATTTATTTATTATTATTATTAATGAAAGGCGAACACCTTAAACTCTAGGCCACAAGAGCCCCCTTTGTTACTCTGAGAACCAATCTTACACACATAAATTTATATGACCTATTTGTGTTGGAAGAGCCGTTAAACTGGTACAAAAACTAAAGAGGGCAACAGTGATTTTACAAGTAATTTTTCCTCCATTTTGGTGTGCTGCTTGGTTACTTATGCAGACATATACATGTTCCAAATACACTAGGATTTAAAATTTAATTTAAAAATAAAAGATCTGAAAAGATCTTGATGCAAAGCAGCATTTGTCATTTTTAAACCGTCTTGTTGAGTATAGACTAATATTATAAATTATCAGTATCGATATTAAAATACCTCAGGTCAGACCACTTTCTTTAAATCACATTTTGTGACAACAGAAACCTGACTAAAAACCCAAAAGAAAACAAATGAAACACATAAGCTGTAAGAGCTGAGGACAAACAAGTTTAATGGCATGAATCTTTCACCCAGTCATTAACACCTCAGTGTCTTTAGAGAACAGAACAACTAAAGTTATCAAGCATCTACTGAGTGAGAAAAAGCTTTAGTTAAAAACCTGCCTCAACGGACATTTATGGCTGAAAAATATCTGATTCCCAACTGGTGTAAAGCGAGTAAAGAAAAAAAAGTGAGTCTCAATATTGAGCAAAAAAATCCTCTTCTAAAATAAAGGAAAAAAAAATTAGCTTAAATGAAAAGGCGTGAAGACAGTGGTGATTATGGCTGAACAACTCACAGGATAAAGGGAAATCACACAAACAACATTGGAAACCAACACCATGCATTCTATACTTCGTAGCTAGGGATGATAATCTTAAACCAAATACCATGTCAGGTAAACTTTTCCAGCCAGTTTGGCAAAAATGCTTCTTATTTACTGGCTTGACTAAATGACCTACCTTTTTTTAGGTAGCAAAAGGGGTGAATTACATCAATCAGCAATAATATTGGCATGAATCCAATTTTCAACAAATAAAGTTTGTTTAAAATTAAAACCATGTAACCACTACCAGTCATGACGGAAAACATTCCTCTTCCAAAGAAATAAAAAGTAATGCAAATAAAATTCTTTTTCAAAAAAGGTAATCTGAGCCAAACTTTAAAAAAAATTACATGGAAACAGGCCTGGAATAATACAGTTTCTGAAATAATATTCATCTCGTTATAGAACAAAAGGAACATGGAAAGCCTCCGTGAGCTTAGCCTGGAGGCCAGCCCATCTGTCTGCCGCCCATCACATGAATGTGGATGTGGTACACGGACTGCCCACCATCAGGGCCGTCGTTGATGGTCACACGGTAGCCATTGTCCAGACCTTTTTCTTTGGCCACTTTCTTTGCAACGACGAGGAGGTGACCCAGAAGCTGTGGGGCAATATATAATTGTATTGCATATTATATTACAGGTATGTGTATATCAATTATAAAAATATTATATACATGACATGTATAATATATTATAACAATTACATGTATGTGTATATATCATATAGATATATATAACATAATAATATATATCAGTACGGAACTTGAAAAATTAGGTATTAAACTTGGGCCAGTTTTCAATCTGAAACAACGTTCACGGTATCTTTAACCTTTCAATGCTTTAACTAGATATATATAATATATATGGGATAAATACCTTCTCAGACCACACTGCTTCAATACTTCAAAAGCAGTGTAATAGAAACCGACAGACACCATACATCATCCTAAAAAATGTGTTAAACCCAATAAAAAGGTAAAAAATGCTATAGCAAAATACCTCTTTGATTTGTGTGCTCTTAATTGGTTTCCAGGTTTCTACGTCAGATAGCCTAGATTTTTTTGTCTTCACAATCTAATAGATCCATTAAAATCAGGTCACCTTTTGACCTTGGATCATCTGGAGCTCCACCACAACAATATATCCATTTCGTCGATTATAAAATATATCGGCTAGTCACAGAGTTATACATATATATATATATATATATAGTAGTATGATATATATATATATGAACAACCTTCATACACAGTTCAGTAACAGAAAAAGTCTGTTCCTGTCTCTCATTTGCAACCAACATGATTGAATACCAAATGTTTGGTATGCCGCGCATAAAAATGCAAGTTGTCTGACAATAGGACTACATGAGTACTGCCAACAAATAAAAGTTAGTTTTAAAAACTTAAGGCTAATGGAGACACTAGAGGAGAGCATATATTACACTAAGTAAGTCAATGTCATTGCACACAAATAAATCCTGCTACAAATAAATGAGCCCCTACAGTGAGAATCTATGCATTTCAACGAGATATTGTTGTGTCAGGTAACTCCACCAAAGATTCATTCAAAGCCTAACTTTTTAACACAAAAATTAAGGATAATAAGCACTTGAAGTGTGGAAATGATTTCAAATTTTTTTTTACAGGTCTCAGAAAATATTAGAAATTAAGTAAAAATATTTGAAATAGATGTTTTGAGAACTGATTTCAGATTTCAGTATTGTCCAGGTATGGATGTTGAAAAGGGCAAAAGTACACAGAAAATTTCAAAACCTCTTCATTATAAATTTCGGAAAAGGTCGAAGGAACCTTGCAAAAAACATATAAAAGGAGCCTTTCTTTTCTGAGACAAACCATCTACTATTTCATGAAGTGACGGACGATAACTTTTTTGTCTGACACATACCTGTTCATCAGACTCAGTTGCATCAGATAAACGCACAATCGGCTTCTTTGGCACAACTAAGAAATGTGTTGGGGCTTGAGCCGCAATATCATTGAAGGCAACACACTGGGGAGAAGATGAAAAGTATTAGTGAACTTTATGATACATCATAGTATCAACTTATACTGCAAAATTTTATTCTAACTTAACTTCTGCACCCAAATATAATCTCCCCCCTCCCTTCGTGACAAACTACAACCACCAAAGCACTGCGCACTGCTGCTAATATGGTAAATGACAGTTTAAACTCTGAGCAAAACACAAAGGGAAAATGTAAACTAATCTTTGTCACAAGAAGTCGAAAGCCTGCACTGGTTGACATTTAACCAAACCAGTTGTCAGACCAGTCCAGTAGTAGAATTTCAAATAAACCAGAAACCGCACTGTCTTCAACTAAACTCACACCGAAATTTCTTCATATAAACTATGACATGAAAGGCAGACTTTTTTTGTGTGTAATCCCGCCGCCCCCCACCCCAGTTTATATCAGCAAACTTAAGTTAAAATAAGTCAGTGAGATATATCCATGTTACTATGTTCCCTCTTGTGATTAACGGTAAAATAATTAATATGGCTCTCAATGGTGTTGTAAGTATCATTGACCAATAGCGCATGGAATCACAGTTGGCAACAGTAAGGGTGATTATGTCACATCATTATATTGCAGGTTTTAGTGAAATTTTACTTTCGCTCCTGCATGCAGATATGCACTACTTTAGAAGGTCAGACCAACAAAGATTTGGCTGCAGAACATGGCCACTAAACCTGTCACAAATCAATTATTTTCAAGGAAATTTCAAACCAAATTACAAAAGAATACCCCCCCCCCCCTTATTTCATAGGTGCATGCACCCCTGAACTCTCTTCCAAGAAATATCATGATTAGGCTTAGCGTCATCATAAGGTAAAAAGTTTGACTAAAAATTAAATTCTATCAAATATTTCAAAGACGACTAATAATTTGCAATGGATATAAAGTCGAAATTCGCACACAATCCATAAAAATGAACAAAAAGAACACGTGAAGGGGGTGAAAGTAAAATAATAGCTAGCTAGGTTTCAAATAATTTTTACTTTCACTTCCGCACACAGATGCACGGCTTTGGGCATCAAACAGCAGTATTTTCTGCTGCAGATCATATGTATTCACTAAAACACTTGCAAATCAATAATTTTAAAGAAAATTTAAAATCTACCTCTACAAAACATCAAATTATGGATTAAAACAGGGGGGGCATGTCCCCCTGAAACCCCCCGACTGGTCCAAAGTGTGGATACTAAGTACTATACAATTAGGCTCTGTGTGATATAGTTCGATTGAAAACCATTGAATATTTCAAAAACTTTTAAATTGCGATGTAAATGAGGTCGATATTCGTGTTCATCCCATCAATATAATAGAGATATCTAGGCCTACGAAGAAAATAGACACCTGGTAGGTGTAAGATGGGATGGAAAGTAAAAGAATACCTAAACAAGCAAGAACAAGATCCAAGCCCAAGCAAGCTATTAAATAATGCAAGGTGTTGACCAATGTCGTACTTTCCAAATCTTGCATCAGCAACTTACAATTTCCTGGGATATGAATTTCCCAAGAAATTCAAGCGATATGAATTTCTTGGGAAATTCAAGTGATATGATTTCACAAGAAATTCAAGTGATGTGAACCAAACACAACCCAGGACCAAGATTCCTCAAAAGAGTGCAAGATATCTTTCTAGATCATTAAAATAATACTGTAGAGTTATACACACACAAGTCTTAATATGGTAGGAAAATTCCATAATGGAACGAGTGACCACTATGAAATAGATAGAAGTACAGAATAGACGGTTAGGGTTAGGGTGGTAGGGTTAGGGTAAGGTTTTGAGTTATGGGTCGGGTTAGGGTTAGGCGTAGGGTCAGGGTTTATGAATATATGTTAGGTCTCTTCTTTATTGTGTTTGTTAGAGTGGTCGCTCATTACGGAAGTCCTTCCCTTATAATGTTGGCAGGCATTATAATAGCAAATTATTATGGTAGGGAGGACTTCCGTAATAAGTGACCACTATGACTATGAGACAGAGTAGAATAGAGGGGTAGGGTTAGGTTAGGTACATGAAGCTATAGAGAGCACCTAGCACATCTCTGTGACTGGTCCAAATTATAGATGACTCATTTCCACAATTTATTTTTGTCGTCTTCCGGGGTTTCCCTCGTGAGTTGACTAGATTCTAGATCTATCACCTTTTATTAAAAGTATGAATATAAACTGGAAAGGGTGTTTATGTGATCTCCTATCTTTGCCTTGTGTGTGTGTGTATGTGTGTGTGTGTGTGTGTGTGTGTGTGTGTGTGTGTGTGTGTGATGTGTGTGTTTATGCGTGTGTATCTACAAGCGTGCTCGTGTGTGCATGTGTGAATCTTCCCGTTCCTTTGTTCATGTGCGTGTGTTTGAGTGTGCTAAGCCATTCCAGACACTCTCAATACATTATAATTATAATACATTCTCAAGCACACACATAGACGAACATACACCCACATACTCATACACACATTTATCTCTAGATCTAGATCTAGACTCTTGACTTAGCCAGGGCAGATCAATTTTCTTCGGACCGTATTTTCAGTCCGCTTCAATCAATCAACGTCGACACGACACTAGATCTAGATTTAGATCTAGATATTGTAGTTTAACTATACATGCATACGGTTTTACTACACACACCCACCTCATGTAGCGATCCAACTTGCACTTACTCGTCGCAACTCTCTGCGCTGCGCCTCGACCGCTACTCACGCAGTCTTCAAAAGTCCGTGGCTCACGCCTCGGCCTGTCCTTGGTTTCTTCAATGTCAACCGTACTCGACTACTTTCCCGAGAATCACACAGCTAACCACAGATATATAGATCTAGATCTAGATCTAGATCTAGATCTAGATCTAGATCTAGATGATCTTTTGAGACGTGTAGGCGTAGGCTAGGCTGTCGACGAAAGCAAGGCGACGAAGGTTGGGTCTCTTCCTTGCATTTGTGCAGATGTGCCCCAATAAATAAATACACAAATCTACACAAGATGAATTTCGCAGCAACACATGACCTACCTGCTCATCTTCATATAAGAAATCAGTTTTAATTTCTCCTCGAATTATTTTGCCGAAGATAGTGTCGCCACCCGGCTTCGCGGACTGTGCCAATTCCACCTCCGACGCCATGATTCTAAATATGGGGGATAAGTGCCGAGTGTACAAAATCATTACATTGTTCTGCGAGAGTGCTCTCCCCTCAAACACGTTTCTTTTCCCCAAGGAGCTAACAACTTGTTGTAAACTGTAAACTCCTTGCTTTTCCCCCAGTCTCTCCCCCCCCCCCCCCCCCTCTCTCTCTCTCTCTCTCTGTCTGTCTGTCTGTCTGTCTGTCTCTCTCTCTCTCTCTCTCTCTCTCTCTCTCTCTCTCTCTCTCTCTCTCTCATACACATGCATAACAAACACACACACACACACACACACACACACACACACACACACACACACACACACACACACACACACCTGTCTTTAGAATGTCAAGCCACCGTTCACCTTCTCTTTGTCATGTCATGACTTGTCGACCCAATTCAAATCCGATAGGCTAGGCCTATAGTTCTTTTGGTGATACGTGATACCTTGGATTCTGATGTCTCACCTTTTAAAATAACCTCGGTGTTGCAAAGGAAGTGAAACCTAAACAATTCCTTTTGCAAAATCCGCAGTTAGTTCACTTTGTCTTTTCTTGTAATCAGCATGGGTAATAATTTAATAAACAATGGGCATATCGATAGCTGTGATTCATTACATGTACGAGGGCTGTCCCACGGAAAACCGGAATTTGGCTGTAATTTGAAAACTATTCAATATTTTCACATTTTGTAAACGCACACTTGTAAAACAACCATGTAGGAATTTCCCCATTGAGCATCGCACAAACCAAATGAACACTGCAGTTCTCCAAAGATGGCTACCCCCTTGGAAAATTGGTCAAGGGTAGAAGTGGGGTCTGTCATTTGGTTTCTGACCGCAAAAGGTCTCAAACCTATAGAAATACACACTGAAATAAAGTTCAGTTTAAGTTTAAGGGGAGAAAGTAATGACAAAGTCACAGGTATATGAGTGGTGTAGTAAGTTCAAAGCCGGGCATACGGATGTTAATGACAAAGTTCACCCAGTACCTTGTTTTTATGCCAAGACTGAGGACAACAAGAGTCGCGTTAACGAATTCATTCAAACTGACAGGAGCCTAAAAATTCTCGAAATTTTCGAGTCGCTAAAAATTTCAAAGTCGACAGTCTATAGGATAGTGTTTGATGAGCTGCTCTATCGAAAAGTCTGTGCTAGATGGGCCCAAAAGAGCTGACAGCTGACCACAAGACGCAACGTGTTGAAGTGTTTCAGACCTTGTTGAATCGCTGTCGCCAAGCTGTCACGGGAGTCGTGAACGCATCTGGAGACCTCCAACAATACGATGAAGCATTCCTGAGAAGCATTATTACAAGTGATGAGACTTGGATACGCCACATGACCCCTGAGACGAAGGGGGATTCAACGGTTTGGAAGCACACGTCTTCACCTCCCTCGAAAAAGTTTATAAAGTTCAGCCATCGGTGAAGACTCCACGGTTTTCTGGGATGGTAAGGGTGTTCTGCTTCTTGACATTCTGGAACCAGGACAAACTGTTAAAGTTAACAGATACTACAAGACTTTTGATAAGTTAAGAGGGGTTGTGCGCCGAAAAAAACCAGGCCGGTGGTCCAGAGGGTTCATTTTGCAGCATGACAACGCAATTTATGCCACACACCACAAACGCTACGAAAGACTGGATCCAAAGGTTCGGCTGGGAAGTTCTGCCACACCCCCATCACAGTCCTAACTTGGCCCCGTCAGATTATCACACTTTTGGACCAATGAAACGCCATATTTCTGGACATCGATTCACCCACGACGAAGACCTTGGGGAAGACGTGAAAGATTGACTGAAATCCCTTGACGAGAAATTCTTCTGGGAGGGTATCTTCTCCCTGATCCAGCGATGGGGAAAATGCGTCCAGCGGGATAGCGATTACATTGCGAAATAAAGCACATGTTGATGTATGATGTGTTACATTTTTATTATAATAAATAATAGTGTAGTACAAATATTGTTGCTTTTATGGAGCTTTTCCGGTTTTCCGTGGGACAGCCCTCGTACTTACATGTACATGTAATTACTTTATTTTACTTTATCCGTCCTCTTGTACCCCTAGGGCGTCGAGGGGAGAGAGAGCTTCTTGTGTCTAGTAAGTTTGATGGCCTGGCTAGGTGGGATATTGTATGTTCTCAGGGTACCCCCCACACCCGGGATCCAGGTCTGTCTTGGTCTTCCTCTAGCCGTGTACCCTGATACATGTACTTTCCTGTAGTAGGCTTTACTGGCAAGCTGGTTAGGTGCAATACGTGTGAGATGTCCAAACCACCTGATTGTTTGCCTTCGAATCATGTGGCATGTAGTGGAGGACAGGTGTTGTTCCCACCATTTCTCTGATCTTGTTGTTTCTGACCATGTCCCGTCTGGTTTTGTTGACGGCTCTCCTTAAACATCTCATCTCGTACTTACGTTCCAGACTTTTGGTCAGGGTCCATGTATGGCATTGGTAGGTCAAGTTGGGGATGGAGATAGAGTTAATGAGCTTGGCTTTGGTCTCAATGGGGATGTTAGGATGTTTGAGGAGTGGGGCAAGCTGGTAGCTGACACTGTTAGCCTTTTGTACTCTAGTCTCAATTTCTCTGTTGAGACGCCTGTCTTCCGAAAAGATGCTACTTAAGATACTTTAACTCGCTGACTTGTTTCAGCGGATTTTCGTCGATAGTGATTCATGTATTAAGGTTGCCAGGTGTTCTGCTCATTTTCATCGTCTCCGTTTTGCTTTAACTTATCTTCATATTGTTGAGTTTTTCACATTGTGCATTCAGCCTGTCTGTGAGCTCTTGAAGTTACTCTTCGGATCTTGCTCTTAATATGCCAAGCTTTGATCGTTCGCAAACAGCATCTCACTCAGGTCTATCGGGTTGGGGTTTGCTTCTTTAGTAATTTGGTCCATGTATATTATAAATAGTAGCAGAGATAACACACAGCCTTGTCTCACTTCAGATGACACGTCGAACCAGTCAGTGAGTCAGTTTTGGGTGCGGACTGTGCTCATACTGTAGGTATAGATGGCTCTGATGTTGTTCAACAGTTGTCCCCTAATGCTGTACTCTTCAAGTTTGCCACAGTTTGTTTCTATCTACTCTATCAAACGCTTTTTCCCTGGTCTACAAACACAAGATTTAGTTCTTTGTTGTATGCATTTGTCCTTTCACTCAGTTGTCTAAGAGCGAAGATAGCGTCTGTGCACCCTCTCCATTTTCTGAAGCCCATCTGCGCCTCACTCAGGACAGTAATGGTTCCACCTTACGCCTTTCCAAGATCTTTGCGTACATCTTGCCTGTGTAGCTCAGAAAGGAAATTCTTCGGTGGGTGTTGCAGTCTTTCTTGCTGCCGTTCTTCTTCCAGATAGGTATCACAACTGCACGCTGCCAGTCTTCTGTGACTTTCCTCTCCCTCCATGCTTTTTGGAATATTGTGGTAAGCCAGGTGATTGCTGTTTCTCCACATGCCAGGATGGCTTCAGTTGTAAAGCCATCAATCAATGTCTGCTGCTTTGTTTCTTGGGCTATTCTTCAGTGCCTTCTTCTGTACTTCTGGTTTTATTTAAGATGCTTGGTTCTTCTTTTTCTGTGTATCGTGTTTGAAATTGGCTCTGTGTGTTTCCTTGGCTGTTTGAGTTAAGGAGTTCCCTACTGAAATACTCCTGCCATCTGTTTTTGATGCTGTCTTCTTCACTGAGTGGGTTCCCATCTTTTGTCATTGACTACTGTTGTTGGATTGTATCGTTCGTCTCGTAGACTCTTTGCTTTGACACTTTTGTAGAATTGTCGTGGAGAGTGTTTGCACAGTTCACTTAATATTTCGACAAATTCCTTCCATGACTGTTCCTTGGAACTTCTGACTATCCTCTAGCTATGACTTCTTTCTAGTCTGTATTTCACGTAGTCCTCATCGAGCTTTGATTTTACCCACGCCTTGTACAACTCCTTCTTTTCTTTGATGGCCTCCTTTACTCTGTCTGTCCACCAAGCTGTCTGCTTTACCTGCCCTCTTCCGGTGTATTTGTACCGCAGGCTTTACGGCGTGTCTCTGTCGGCGTGGTCTTAAACACTGACCATGTCTCTTCTGCTGTCATTTCTGAGCTGTCTACTTCTTTCAGATTCTGTGTGACTTTTGTTTCCATTTCCTGTTGTACTTCTCCCTTCTGGAGTTTTCTTAAGTTGATCTGTCCGTCTGTTTCTTTCCTCTTCCTCGTTCTTTCACTCCGCTACTTTGTTAATAAGATAACTGGAAGGTGGTCAGTGTCCAGGGCTGCATCAGGGATGGTTCTCGCGTCCGTAACTCTTCCCCTTTCTTCTATTCGTGTCAAGATGAAATCTATCTGTGATGATACATTCAGATCGTTCCATATGTACCAAGTTTGTTTCTGGCAGGGTCAGTGTTGGTAAGAGGTGTTTGTGATCCTCAGTCCGTGTTCTGCACACAGTGCTAATAGCTGTTCCCCGTTGTAGTTGCACTCTGTGTTAATGTCACTGTTTGGGCCAAGGTACTGGTCCCTAGGTGTTCTTCTCTTGCCCACTCTTCCTTTGAAATCTCCCATGACAATAAGTTCTTCCTTGTCTGGGACTGTGCTTATGGTGTCTGCCATCTTCTCAAAGAATTCTTATTTTTATTCTTCGATGTAGGAGTCATTGCAAGGTGCATGAGCTTGGATGAAGTTTGAGATCTTTTGTTCTCCCCTTACTCGGGCTTTGAAGATCCTCTCCGAGATAAATTCTGTTCTCAACTCATTCTTTGCTGTACCCGGGTGTCGAATAAAACCTACACCATGTGTTGCCCCAGTTGTCCCATCCCTGCAACTCCAAATCAGGACGTAGTCCCCATGGATCTGTTTGATTCCAGTTCCTTTCCGTCTGCAGTCTGAAGTTCCCATCACCGCCCACCGGCATTCTCCATCTCTTTTTGAAGTCAACAACTTCTGGCTCTTTGTCTTTGATTCCACATACATTCCAAGTGCTCGTTCTTTCTCGTCGTCCTTTTCGGTTTCCTGGTCGTTTTCCGTTTTGGTCCGTCAGTTAC